ACGTAGGGTCAAACATCAAGTCCATATCTTTCCGAGACACAACTGACCTTGCTTCAGCAACATTTGGTGGCAAGAACCCCAATGACCTTGGTGAAAGGGAAATTGTAAGCAATCCCTATTGTGGCTTGTTAAGTTTACTAAATAAAACAAAGCACTTATGATTCATAAACTACTAACTAAAATATATCTATGGCTCATATAGCTAACTTATTTTGATTTGTACGTGTTTATATGATTTGCAGGTTCATATTAACAGGCCTTCTGAGCACCTAATATCCATAAGTGGGACGTATGGCCCTTTCGCCGGTTTATTAACGATCACATCACTGTCATTTATTACAAATCGGGCTACATACGGACCTTTTGGAACCACTTCTGGCACTTCTTTCTCGATCCCTATGAACAATAGTACGGTAGTTGGATTCCATGGAAGGGCTGGCCACTACCTGGACGCCATTGGAATCTTTGTGAAACCAGAAACGAAAATCTCACAAGGCTCATGATTTTGTGCTTAAATGCTCTATGCATTTTCTGCCATAATGTGTGGATGTGGGAGTGTTTAGTTGTCCCGTAGTGTCGTTTACAAGAGTTTTTATAGCTCTTGCTTTGTTCGCTTTCATGATGGTTGTATTATGTATCCATGTCGCGTCTTAGTGGAATAACTGTACTGTGTCGTTTACAAGAGTTTTTATAGCTCTTGCTTTGTTCGATTTCATGATGGTTGTATTATATATCCATGTCGCGTCCTAGTGGAATAACTGTACTACTTAGTGGAATAAAAAAACTCCCATATGCTAATTTTTATGGCACTGCTAGCTTAATATTACTTATGTAGACTCAATTGATGCCTGTAAGATTTGGCTTCTCGGTATTGGAGTAATCTCTTGGGTTGAGGGTTGCAAGTTTGAACCCTAGCTAGAGCCAAATGAAGCTAAAAAAACTGATTAGCATCTTATAAATAAGAGTAATGATGCGGGAGCCGAAGGTGGGATGCGAATTTGGGGGACGACAGGTGATGGGAGGGGTTATGCATATGGTGCAATTACTAATTTAACCCCTCCCATCACCTGTCCTCCCCCAAATTCGCCTCCCACTTTCGGCTCCCGCATCATTACTCTATAAATAAAGAATGCTTTTTGATTTCTTCATGAGCTTAAAAATTCATTTACCCTGCTTGCTAACTTGAAAATTCACTTACAATCAAAAAGGCTCAAGGACCCAATATCACCTTGATGCAGTTGGCATCCTGAGTGTGGGCTTCCATTAACTGTGATTTAGTGTTAATGGATTGGGCTGAATATGTAAGTTTAAGGGATGTTCGTCTTCGGCCCAGATGTCATTTAACAACTAATGTGTTTTGAGTAGTTATAAGAGCAGGTCATAAATTAATTGAGGCTCATGATGGGTTGTGGCCAGTTGGATATTTTTCTATGAATGGACAAGATCCATCTCGCTAGTTCACAAATAGATACACATGGGTTTTGTGATGGAAAGTTAGCGCTGTTTGATGTACACATGGGATTTGCCATGAAAAGTTAGTGGCGTATATGAGTATGGCCCACTCAAGCACATTAACAGCTAAAAATCAACCCGAATTGATATTGCATTTGTCGTATGTTTATTAGCAAGATTTAGTTCTTCTTCAATAAGAAGATATTGGAATAGAGTTAAACATGTATTGTGATATTCCTGAGAGACCATTGATATGGGTTTATTTTATTCAATTAATTCTAGATCACAATTGATTGGCTATGCAAATACAGGATAATTATCCAATCCACATAAAGCTCGATCGTCTCAGACTGATTATTTATTTACATGTGCGCATACAAGTATATCATGGCATTCCACAGAAAAAGCTTTAGCTGCCACCTCATCAAATCATGTAGGAATAATTGTAGTGCATGAGGCCAGTTGAGAATGTATTTGACTAAGGTGCATAACTCAACATACCCAGAAGATGTGTTGTTTATCTCTAGTACAAAAGATCCCAAAAATATTATGCAAAGATAATGTAGCCTGCATAGCTAAATTAAAAGAGGATACATCAAAGGAGATAGAACGAAACATATTTCATTAAAATCTTTTTTTTTCACTCATGATCTTCAAAAGAATGGTGATATAGATATTCAATAAATTCGTTTATTTGATAATCTGGCAAATTTGTTCACTAAGGCATTATCAACTACCACGTTTGAAAAGTTGTTGTATGGTATTGGGATGCACCAATTCAAAGACATAAAGTGGCGTTCTTATTAAGTGGAGTAAAAGACACGATGTACTCTCTTTTCTTTAAGGAAGGTTTTGTTCTATTGAGTTCTCCTAGTAAAGTTTTTAATGAAGCAATTTATATTATAAATATTGTTTATTGAAGTTAAAGCATGAAAAAGAGAGATTGGAAGAGAAAATATTATCAAATGATATAAATATGAGTACATAAGTAGCCTTTTTATAGACATTAGGTAACCCATTGACCAAGAAATCTAAAGCCTGAATTAGGCTACCATAATAACTCAAATCAACCATAACACCTATTACCATAATTAACTCAATTACTATTAATATATCTCCTAAATATCATCAGCATTCTTCTTCAAATTCAAGATAGTTTGATCAACTTGAGTTTGTAAATAAAAGAAATCTCGACAGTGTATGCCCATAATCAGTAACAAAATGAAATCTCCATTATCCAGAATTCTTCACAAAAAAATATCTTGTAGCTGGGATTTTTGAGTCAGCCACCCAAAACTATAGCAGAAATAGTAATTGAAGCAAGAGAGATCGAATCAAATTGATCCAGAAGAGGTGAAGTGGCACTAGCCAACTTTAGTAAAAAGTCAAATATGTTGTCAACCATAGAAAAGAAACCTAGAGGAATTGAGAAAAATAATAAGGATGACCAGCAAGATAAACTTACCAAAAGTTGTATGGAATTGAGAATTGAAAAAAATTTGGCACCAGAGATCGAACAGAAAAATAGAAGAGATAATTAAAAGGAAAACCAGAGAAAAACTCCCGAGTTGTGAGAGGCATAAAGATTAAAGAAGATTTGAAATAGGAAGATATGAAAATATCCAACAATTAGATAAAAGGAGTTCCAAAAAGTCAAACCAAGAGGAAATGATACTTAGAAGGAAACACTCTAGAAAGAGAAAAGTAGATGTCAAGAAAGAAGTGGCTGCTAATGAGAAACCAGAGTGTGTAAATCTAACAAGGATTAATAAACATTCATGTGAGCATCATTGATATGAACTCTCGGAAAACAATGGAGAACTTGAAAATCATGAATAAGATAGGGAAGGATGAAAGCAAATTGTAAGAGATATTAAATAGTAACAATTCGAGAAATAAGAAAACTAGAAGAATATGAAACCATGAGAAATTAATTGATAAGAAGTCTATAGAAGAAATTTGGAAAAACTTGGATTGCGGAAGCAAAAAAGAGATCAGGATCTTATGACTTGTTGGAGCTATAAGGCTCTAATACCATATTAAAGTTTAAAACATGGAAAAGAGAGGAGAAAAAATTGGAAGAAATGCATAATGAAATATTATTGAATGATATGAATATGAGTATATAAGTAGCCTTTATATAGATTTAGGTAACACAATGACCAAGAAACCTAACTCCTAAATTACTCTACCATAATAACCCAAAACAACCATAACACTTATTACCATAATTAACTCAATTACTATTAAGATATCTCCTAAATATCCTTAACATTGTGTGTACTCTTGTTCATTCACTAGGTTTTTATCCCATTGGGTTTTTCCCAATTAAGTTTTAATGAAATATATTAATTGTTAATGGACATCCAAGGGGATGTTATAAATATTATAATAATGTGGATGTCCTAAACCCCCAAAAAGACCTTCTAGGATCCCTTTTGCGTTTAATGGCATAACCCCTAAAAGGATTTATTTTCATAATTATGTAGATAAATTTTCTTATTTATGCCATTGTAACTCCTTAGATGATCTTTAAGGTCGAAAGGCCTATAAATGGAGGTCATGTACAAAGCTTTTACTATCCCACGTGAATGAGAAATATTTTCTACTTTCTTCTCTCAAGTTTCTCTCTTGCTAAATCAACTATCAACTAAAGATTACAAAGCTTGGTCTTTTGTGATGCCAAAATTGCCCCCATTGCATGCACTGTTCACATGCTTCTCTTAGGCTGATTGTCATTTCGCATGGATTTCCAAAGGCCTAGCACTGTTCATACTGTTCATTGCATTTTTCTGTTCATACAACGTAATCTTTTATGTTTAGGCCACTTATTTTGCTTGAATTGCCCTAATTTCATGCCTGTTAAGGCAACTGTTCACTAATTGTTGTGTCATTCTCCACCAATTTGCAAAGCCCCCCTACCGTACAACCATGTTCATTTGCGTCCTATTCACGTAATTCATTTCTTGACAATTTGATCCTCATCTTTCATTGTTGAAGAAATTGAGTGGTGAAGAGTTATGTTTATGGCTAATTCATAAATTTATGATTTCTTTTGTGTAATTTATACGAAGAATTGTGATTGATTGGAAATTTCTAACCTTCTTGAAGGGTTTCCACTGCAACACTGAAAATGCTTGAAAATGGGTGTGCATTGCTCCGAGAATTCTTGAAGGAGGGGTCTATTGGTTGATGAACATATGGAGGATTATGATTGATTGAAGATTTCTTAGCACTGAGAATTCTTGAAATAGGGGTATATTGGTTGATGAATCGAAGGAAAATAGAATTATGTTGGTATTATTGAAACAAGGTTTTGGAATGTGTGTGTGTTAATTTACTTTTATTTTGTGGTTGATTTGTTTAATTTGGCGAGAAATGTAGTAGATTAGTAATTACCTTTTGTTAATTTTCATATTTTGGTTAATCAATTAAATTATTAAGTAAGTTTAATCAAATTAGGAGATTAGGTATAGCCAGTATAATTGATGTGGGTGTATATTTGTGGTCCTTATTAATGGGTTGTTGATTTACTTTTGTTTGGCGATTTGTTTGTTTAGTTTGGTAAGAATGGAGTAAATTGGTAATTAATTTCTGTCAATTTCATCTTTTTTTGGTTAATTCATTGAATTATTAAGCTGGTTTAAGCAAATTAGGGAATAGGGTATAAGCAGTATAATTAATATGGGTTTATATTTGTGGATCTTATTAAAAGGTCGCCTTATTTGTTTTTTTCTTTAAACTATATGGGCCTCATTTCGGCTTCTAGGGTTTTTCGTTCTGGGTTCATTAGGCATGGGTTCAACGGAACCCAGGCGTGGGTTCGAAGAACCCAACACGCCTGGGTTCTTCGAACTCAGGGGTAAAAAATATATATTTTTTTTTTGTGGGTTTGGTGTTTGATGACTGTGGGTTTGGTGTTTGATGATGATGTGTTTGATGATGATGAAGAAAGCAAGGCAAGGAAGAGGAAGGAAAAAAAAGGGGCATTGTTGGATTCGATTCAACCCAGGTGCTGGGTTTGTTTGCTGGAGGAAGAAGATGACGGCAAATTCGTAATTTTGGTGGGCCCCACTTTTGTTGGGTTGGGCAAAGACATGACATATCATGTTGCCATGTCATTATTTATTCATTTATACAACTAACATGTCTCAAATGTTTACCATGTCATTAAATTGTCGTGAGATAACGGTGAGATTTTAACGAAAGGACCAAATCGGGGTAAAAATGGTAAACAGTAAGGACCAAATCAAGAATTTTTTTAGTTCAGGGATCAAATTAAGGGTCCGTATAATAGTTCAGGACCAAAATAAGGTTTTAACCTTATCTAAATAAAACGATGGGTTGGTACAACAATGCCCATAGTTCATACCTATTCAAGTTTATACCAATTCACTATCAGCCTATTGATTTAAGTGGAAGAAATTTGATTTCTTTTAAATAAGATCATAAGTTCAAGTCTTGTAAATAGAGAAATATGTGCTGGAAGAGCTTCCCCTAATGAGATCCAATGAAATTTAATTATAAATTAATTAAAATTTAATGTGATTATGAATATGAAGAAATTAGTAAAAAAAAATACATACCAATTCAAGTCCTTTCTCCGTCATTTTCCTTATTTAAAAAAGGGAACGTTCTCTGTCGCTTTCCTTATTTAAAAGAGTGGTCCACATTTGGAATCCTAATCAAATTCCGAAGTTGTTCACATCTTTGCAAACGTCACAATTAAATAGTAGTTTTTAAATTATCTTAATAAAACGATGGGTTGGTACAACAATGCCCATAGTTCATACCTAGAGGAATGCTAGCTGCATTCGCCTTTCTCCAGCACTCTCCAACACTCCCTCATCTAAAATAGCCACGTGAACTTTTTTAAGTTGGAAACTTTTAATTGCGAGCCAAAATTTGTTACGTGGACATTTTAGATGAGAGAGTGTTGGAGAGTGCTGGAGAAAGGCCATCATTCCTCTTCATACCTATTCAAGTCCTTTTTCTGTCATTTTCCTTATTTTAAAAAAGTTACATTCCCTGTCACTTTCCTTATTTAAAAGAGTGGTCCACATTTGGAATCCTAATCAAATTCCGAAGTAGTTCACAGCTTTGCAAACGTCACAATTAAATAGTAATTTTTAAATTATTTTAATAAAACGATGGGTTGGTACAACAATGCCCATAGTTCATACCTATTCAAGTGCTTTCTTTGTCATTTTCCTTGTTTAAAAAAGGGTACATTCTCGTCCAACACAAAGTGG